AAATGAAGGGACTAGACTGGATGATCCCTGCCTGAGGGCCCTTTTGCCTCTAAATCCATGATCTAAATCTGTGATAATTGGAAATTGTGAAGTCAGGTAGGTTTAATCCTCCATAGGTTTAGCAAGTGAGTCTTTTCTGCTTGTTTCACATTTCTATATAGACACTATCTTACCATCAAGGTCTGTGCCTCAGTGTCTTTATTTGTTAAAAGGGGCTAACAATGTTTGCTAGTTCTCCTTCTCTGGGTATTACCGAGACAGTAAGAGATAAGCTCTTTTAATTACACGCTCCAACAGCCTGGATGATTTAATCACAAATCTATAGCATCATTAATTTAGGGCTGGTAAGGGACTTTAGAAATCATTAGGCAAAATGAAAAGATTCCATAATACTTCCCCCAAATGAACATTTTATTATACATTTTGAAAAAGAGAGAATGACTATAGAGGTGTACTTCATCTGAGTAGAGTTAAATTGTGGTCTGTCAGAGAAACCTGGCTACCAGGGGAAGTGTCAGGAGAAGGAATGGAGTTGTTTGCTGACACAGGCCTAGAAGAGAGGGCTTGAATTCTGGGCAGACCAGCGAGGTTCTAAACAAAATCCTTGAGCTTTCAGCTTTGCTGGGTCCATTTGTTATCAGATAAAAAGGAGGCCATAACCAAGTAGTAAAATTCAGCTCTTTGTCTTCCCCGACCCTTGGTTCCTCCATTCTCTGCACCCTAATCAACTTCTCCTTTGATCTTGGCTGATGAATAGTACTGTAGACACCTTTAAGGCACCCAGGGATTCATTACCATTTCTTTATGGTACCAGCACTTCAGTTCCCCTTTCCTTTTGCCATCCCAGTCTTGTGTTGACATGGAGAGTTTATGTTTTTCAGTTTCTTTCAAATGCAGACCAGGTGGTGTGACCTGGAACCTTTTAGGATAGCTTAATCTGTCAAAGAATACAGTGATTCTATGCACTTCTCCAAAATGTCCTATGTAAAAAAATAATTTATATACCATTCATGAATCATCAAAAAATGACTATACATGTCTAGCTCTGCAGGATGTTTTCTGGAGGCTTCTTCGGGCCAGTCCTTCCCAGGGAAATGAATTTTCCTATCCCACCCCTATATCCTCACCCAGATCCTTCCAGAAAGACAGTCACAGATTTATGACATCTCTCTGGCTGTGACCTTTGGAATGAAAATCAACTAAGTTCCCACTGCAGGCTTGACCTCATACTAAATGCTAAAAGGCTAATTCCAATGAAGAAAGCGATAAAGAAAATTACACCGAGTTGTAACTAAGGAAAAGGAAGTCTTTGACTGGATGTTTCTTCTTTATTGTTGATCCATCATAAACAGTAACTTGCCTCTGGGCTGAAGACAAGGAAGTGTAGATAGAGGGAGGATAGCTAGGGCCACAAGGTGGAAAGGTAAAAAAGGTGACAAAAAAAAATCTTTCCTTTGTTTTCTAAAATACAGATGGTTTCTTTGCTATAAATACCTGACCATGGGAAAAAGCTTGGCTCTAGCCACTGAAGAAAGCAACTTGGAACAACTCCCACCAAAAAACTATTAAACTGTGCATGCCTTTTGATCCAGAGAAACCACTACTAGGTGGTTTGAAAAAAAAAGGTGACACATATGTACAAAAAATATTTATAGCAGGTCTGTTTAGGGGCAAAGAACTGGAAACTGAGGAGGTGTCCATCAGGAATTGATACAGAGTGAAGGGGGAGAACAATTTATACCCTAATAACAATATTGTAAAGACAATCAACTTTGAAAGACTTAGGAACTCTGATCAACACAATGAACAACCTTGATTCCAGAGGACTCATGATGAAACAGGCTACCTACCTCCTGATAAGAGAGGTGATGGACTCAGTATTGATTGTTACATATTTTTGGAAGTGCCCAATGTGGGAATTTCTTTTGCTTGACCATATCTGTTTGTAACAGGGGATTTTGTTTTTTTCTTATTTTCTCAATGGGGGTGGATGGACGGAGTGGAAGGGGGAGGAGGAACATTGGGGAAAAAAAGAATTTAAAAACTAAAATAAATGAAATGAAATGAAAGGGTTAAAAAGAAGGAAAACGAATTTGTAAAACATTTCCCTAGAAGTAAAATAATAATAGTTAACATTTCTATAGTACTTAAGGTTTGCAAAACACTTTACAAATATCTCATTTTCCCTTCACAACCTGAGAATTAGATGCTATTATTATCCCCATTTTACAGATAAGAAAAGTGAGTTTCAGAATGGTTGACTCAAATAGGGTTAAGTGACCCATCAAATCCTGCCTCAGACACTTTGTAGCTGTGTGACCCTGGGCAAGTCACTTAATCCTATTTGACTCATTTTTCTTATCTGCAAAATGAGCTGGAGAAGGAAATGACAAACCACTCCAGTATCTTTGCCAAGAAAACCCCAAATGGGGTCATGAAGAGTCATACATGGCTGAAATCTTGAAAACCAAAATGATTCAAAGGAGATATTGTCAAGGAAGTGTAGTGTGATGGAAAGAAACCTGGCTCCAGAGGACCCATGTCTGACTACCATCTTTGGCTTGACTACCATCAGTGTGACTTTGAGAACATGACCTCCCCTCGCCCGGCCTCAGTTTTCTCCTCTGGTAGCTGGTAATTTCCAAGGTTGTCCAATTGGTATTAAGAATATTTCACTTCCAAATTCCCTTTCTGGGCCTCAGAAAATGGTTATTTTTAAAGTGAAAATTTGAAGTTTTCCATCCCAAAGCTGGTAGAGCAGCTAGACAACAGAGACCACTTTTTCTTTCCTCTTCTTATGAGTATGATTCAGTTGATTTCCTGAAGAGAAACAACTTGGATTTGTATAACCCTGTGGGGTTGACAAAGCATTTTCACAACTATTCTCTCATGTGATCCTAAAGGTAACTCCCTGGGGAGGCAGGATGCCTTTCATTATTCCCAATTTCAAAGATAGGAACACTGAGCATCTGAAAACTTAAATGACTAACCCATGATCACCCAGCTATGATGTAATGGATCTTGAATACAGGTCTTCTTCAAGTATCCAATTGTGGAAAGATGTGCTCTTCAGGTGCTGCAGGTACTAGATATGGCTGACCCTTTCTAGCTGGACAAGTCATTTCAACTTTCTCTGCTTCAATTTCCTTATCTGTGAAATTTGGATAATAATAACACCTACCTCCCAGGGTTGTTGTGAGAACTAAAAGGGATACTCTGTGCATAGCATGTTGCAGAATATGTATAGTAACAGGGATAGGGATGTTTATTTCATTAGGATAGGGAATTCCCAGGTGAGGAAACTCCCTCTACTAGTAAAGTTTGGCACCTTTTGTATAATTTCAAGTGTTGGAGAGGAGCCCAGTGGCCTGAGACGTTTGATGATTTGTTCAGGCTGGTATGTGCCAGATCGGGACCTTGAACCACGTCTTAATGGTTTCAAGGCTGACTCTTGCTTTCCACTGTCCCATGTGTATCTTCATATGATAATAATAAAAAAAATACGTAAATGTGAGCTATTATTATCCATGCACAAGAGCCCAATTCAGCCAGCCCCCTCCCCCTAAAAAAGGATTCTGTGTAGTAAGAAAATGTGTGATCGTCCCAGTGTGCGGGATGAGTTCAGAGAGCCGAAACAGAAGGTGGCATCTAACCTGGGCCAGTGTGCCCCATTCGGTGGTTCCCCGTTCTTTCCTCACTTCAATAATCAATCATCAGATACTTAGCTCCTATGTTGTACTACTCTGGCACTGTGCGATTCTCAGAGAAAACTAGGACAAAATCGGCCACAATTCCTACTTACAAGCAACAGTTTACAGTTTAAGGAGGCGGACAACGTGGGAATACAAGAGCATACACAGAATAAATAGGAAGACGATCAATCAGTCAACCAATAAGAATTGATTAAGGGGCCACTCTCTGCTGGGCACTGGATACAAACACACACAACGAACAAAGAAATCAGCATTCCCAAGGTGTTTACATTCTAATGGAGGAAACAAGTATACGTAAAAATGGATACATTACAAATAAAAGCGGATAGATATAAACATATACAAAGTATTTCAATGCAAGTTAGTTTGAGGAGGGAAGTAGCAGTCGAGGCAGTCGGGACGTGCTTCATTCACTTCCCATCCGCCCCTACTAAAGTAGCTGAGCTGGCCCGCTCAGTTCCTCCCTCTGTGCCCTTGCTTATCTCGGTGCCAGGAATCCTCCCTGATCGCTGCCCCAACAGTCCCTCTCCTGTGAGGTGCGCAGCTCGGGCATTAAAGCCCTTCCTGAGGCCTCCAGTGACTACAACCGCCCTGCCCTCCTAAACTACCTTCTAAGTTAACCACTTTGTGTGTGTGCGCGCTTTCCTATGTGCTTTATTTCTACGCATCCTCTCGATCCCCTCTATTACAGCCCCAGCGCTTGGCGCAGTCCTTTGCACAGAGCAAGCGCTTAATTTCTTTTCATTCATTCATCACAACATAGGATCCAGCCGGTTAGGCATGGCTTCATTCTCGGTATCCAGATCTTACTGGCCCAGCAGAGCGAGCGCTCAGTAAACGCTTTATTCGATCCATTTATCAGGCCGTAAGATCCTTGCAGGACGGAGCTTTTGTTTCATTTTTGTGCTCGTCCCTCAGCGCCTAGCACAGTGTTTTGCACACAACAAACTCCTAATAAGCACTTGCTGATTGACTGGTTGCACAAAGGCCGAACCCCAAAGCCGGCGATTTTCCCTCGCTCGCTCTAGCCACCTGCAGGCAAAGGAAGATGGGGCCTCTCGCATCCGTCCGGGCCGCCTTCGCCGGGGCAGCGGGATGCGAGCGCCCGCCCCTCCCCCTCCCGGGCCCGCCCCCGGCCGCAGCCAAAGCAGGTCTGGTCCGGCGCTCGGTCGCTCGCGCCAGCTCCCCCCAGGCCCCGCAGCGCATGTGCCCGGCGCCCCCCGCCCGGCCCTGGATTCCGCTCCCTCGCGGTTCCCGCTGCCGCCGCAGCCGCCCCTAGAGCCCGCGCCGGCCCCGCCGCCCATGGCCGGAACTCGCTGGGTGCTCGGGGCCCTGCTCCGAGGCTGCGGCTGCAACTGCAGCAGCTGCCGGCGCACGGGCGCCGCCTGCCTGCCGCTCTACACGGCCGCCGGCGCCTTCCCCGCGGGCGTGTCGGGCCGCCGCCGCCTGCTGCTGCTGCTCGGGGCGGCCGCCGCCGCCGCCGCCCAGACGCGGAGCCTGCAGGCCGGCCGCCTGGTGGGGCCGCCCCCGCCGGCTCCGGCCGGCTCCGTGGCCGCGGCAGCCGCCTCCTTCCAGGCCCTGCGCGGGCCCCTGCTGGCCCCCGCCGTCCCCGCCGCCGCGCCTCCGCTAGGCCGCGGCTACAGCCAGGTAGGCAGCGCGCGCCGGGCCGGAGGGGGGTCGGGGGAGTGCCGGGGCGGGGGGGAGGTC